TCCAGCCAACCCTGCTTGAGTGATGGGCTGGTTCAGGTGGTCTCCAGAAGTCCCTTTCCAATCTCAGCTGTTCTGTGAGCCATTCACCATCTCAGGCTTAGGCTTTCCTGAAAATGGGGATTATACAGCGGTTTTCACAAAAAGTTATGCTTTTAAGTCTTTTCTAACAAAGAACCCACTCTGCAAAATGCAATTTAAAGAAAGGGGGGGAAAAAAAAGCATTGATAAACTGAAAATATCATGCCTGCAGAAGTATGTTAACAAAAGAAAATGCTAGAACTACATCATACTCATCAGCATGTCACAGCCTTCATCTTCTTCCTTAAATACCAAGATATATTGCCATCTTCTCCATAATTCCCACAGCATGCAGAATGCATGAGGCAAGGTTTCTCGTCTTCAAGACTTATTTGTATCAAACCTTATCAAACCTTGATAGTTTCCTGAGGTAGGTCCTTCATTTTCTCCCTCACCTCTTTTTCCTTTCACTATTTTTTTTTCTTTCTCAAGAAGTGATAATAGTAATAAAACATTATTTTAAATGCAGACAATACAAATAAAATGACATCTCTGGAGCTTATAGTTTAGGTTTCCAAAGCTGCCTGAGGGGGTTTACATGGACAACTTCCACTTATTTACCTGGCAGTTTCAACAGAATGCCCTCTGACTCTGTGGACAAAGCACAGAAGGAGTTTTTCTGCTCCTTTCCCACGTAGAAACTTTCTGGTCTTCTCTGGGGGATTGAAGCACTAACATGCTTTTCTATTTATCATCTAATTTTGTGCACTGCCAGTATGTTTATTCTGCTACAAGCCCAGCCCTGAAGCTGGCTGCCCATTTCTCTATTTTGAAAGGTGTTCTTTATAACATGAACACCTTGCAACATGGGAAAGGGCTGTGATTCACCAAGCCCATTTGACAATCATATAACAGCCCCAAGGGTCTTGGACCACACTCATAGACCTGCTGCAGAGCTTGCACAGATCTTTCAGAAGCAGCAAATAAGAATGAAGAAGAATAAACTGTGGCTGCCCATGGCAGGTAACCAGCAACCTGAGCTGCTCCACACAAAGCAGGACTTTTTTTTGGAACTGCTTGGCATTATCAGACCCCACGGGGTTAACTTGCTCTGCCCATTGTCATCCTGTGGTATTCCTCTGCTCTGTGCCCAGCCCTCCCAGGCTCAGGACACAGACTAAATGGCGACCAAGGGTTTGTCCATCTAAGATTTCACATGGAATCAGCTGGAGACAGCACAAGGGGACCAGAGACATGGAAAGTGGCATGTCAAGGCTCACAGGCCTGGCTGCTGCTCTGTGCCCTTGGGGGAGAAGATGAGCGTGTTATCTTCCAGCTGCTCATGCCTAGCAGCCGCTCACAGTGATCAGAGGGGAGGTTTGGGTACATGCATAGAAATAGAAAATACATGTAGTCCTTCCAAATTTTTAAATCAAATGCATTTACCAGGTCCTGCAAAAAGACATGAAAAGGGAGGGACTCAGCCCGCTGCTACACGTTTCGTCCTGAAGATGTCCCACCTGCGCTCAGGGTGCTGTGCAAGACTGCTCTCATGTGCTTTTCTTCAGGAGAGATGGCAAATACAGCTTCCCAGGCTTTTTCCCAAAATTTCGTGGCAAGAAAGGAGAAAGGGGATTCTCTTTGGACATAAGACCTCTTTGAATCTACATCAGAGCCCAGAGGCTCCCCAGAGCCTCACCTATAAAAAGCAGGAGAGATCCCTGCTCCTCACCTCTTGCTTCCTGTTATCATCACATCACAGACTGCAAGTACATGGCTTCAAATAATGTACACAACAGCTGTTTTAAACTAAAAAAGCAGCAAGGAGCATCACGCATTGCTGGCTTTTAGACAGAAGTTATCCGCAAATAAAACAGACAATGTGTCTGTGTGCTCATTTGGGGTCTTTTGTTTCACGGCTGATTATTTAATTTCAAGTGCCCTAAGTGTCTCAGGCATTTACCACAAATGAATGAAGATGCAGCTCCTGTGTGTAAGGAATACGCAAGCGCCATTCAACAGGATACAATGAGCAAAGGTCATAAACAGCCAGGAAGATAAGCAGAGGAAGAAGTAGGTGGTTAGAGACAGACTGCTATTACTCAGCCCGGACATAACATGAGGGGTTCTGATCAGTTTGTTTTGTAGGGGTTTTATTAGCACTTTCTATTCCCATAAGCAAGAGGGAGTAACTTCCTTAACAGGCTTGGGAATAGCGTGAGCAGGCAGCAGAGGGGATCCACAGAGAAGAGATAATGGAGACATCCAGGTGATCCAGCAGGTTCCCAAGGCACCCACGGTCCCCAACTCTACAATACCTAACAATATAAATCTTTCCACCTACTTGAGTAAGTGGAAATCCTCAGCCAACCCAGAGACAGTCTGAATCTCCTTTATCACTTCATCTTGCATAGGGCTCCAGATGAGCCGGCCGTGTCCAGCTCCTGCTACTGAGTGGCACAGCCCATGCTTCTTAAATAATCCATGATCTGCAGCCACTGACAGTTGGTAAGCAAACAGGTTTCCTACTTATCTGTGTTTACTTTTTCCGTACTTCTCTGGTTATTTTACTCTGAATATTACAGTTTTCAGCAGTACATTTTGGTGCTTATCAGATAAAAAACAGAAAAGAGAAAAAATCATTTCCAAAACATTTTTGTCTAAATTTGCCTGCCAGTCACAATTTCCAACTCAAAAAGCTTTCTGGCACAGTACTAGGAAAGCTATAAGCTGCAGAGCTGCATTATTCAGTTTCTTCCATTTCTAGATGTATTATTTAACTTCTTGGCAATAATGTCAGAGACATAATCCAACAGAAATGCAGAGAAACAAAGGAAACCAAAATTTCAGAACAGCTCAAATTGGTTTTCAGTGCTTGCTTTATAGAAACTGGGGAAGATAAGAAGAAAAAAAGCATATCATGATCAGTTTAGAGGCGACAGAGCAGGCACCCTCTTAGACAGGCAAATCTAGAGCCCCTTCCTTTGGCTTTCAGGAGGAAATCTTTACTTACAGGAGCCAAAGGAAAACTCCCCTGGCTGCTGCTTGTCCACTCTGTTATCCAACACCACTCACCCGCTCACCTCCCTGTCAGGTTAAAAGCTACGTCTCTGGAAGAGAAATTTATTGAGTGGCCATTCTCATTTACATGCCCCACTACTCAGCTTCCCTAGGGCAATATAAATTTCTTTTTCACAGGTGTCCGTGAGACTGTGACTTACCCAGAATGCACATCCCCATGGATGAAATACCATGGACATTAAGCACCCATCTCCAGCTCACTCCCCACTTGTTTCTGCCACCTGAATCCCACTTGTACTTAGCCCCAATTCTCTCTAATACTCATTTATTCTTGCTGTAAGGTCATCAGGTCTCCTTGCTTCATTTTATAGCGGTAAAACGCCCACAAGGAATAACAAGACGAAGGAGAATCGATGTTTATAGTTTACAAGGCGCCTTGAAATTCTGAGATTAAAGGTCCTTTTTGCTATTATTCTAAAGTACGCTCTTAAACAAATACCTGCTGTTCTCAAATACCAGAATATGTTCCTTTTCTTCCATTATTATTATTACTCTAAAAATATTAAACAGCCCTTCATTTTCTTCAGGGATCAAAAGAGCTTATGACAAATACCAATTTGTTCCTGACACTGAGGAGCAAGCTGAAGCATGGAAAAACCAAGCACACACAAGTCCATGGCTACAACACGAAAATAGATGCCCCTGATCCCATCTGCTCTGCTTTCACTCCAAGATGCACTTCATCAGTGCCCTAGCAGAAAGTACTGCAGTTGGTGAGGACTGTGGAAGTGCAAAGAATTAGACTGAACAGAGAGGGAGTGAGGGGGTTTGCTGTGAGGGTGAGGCATTCTTGAATAGGTGGGGGCACAAAGCAAAGATCTCATATGTCTGCATTCCCTGTCACACATAGGGGAAGGTGAACATTTCCCTGGCGGATACTCAGTAGATCTGAGGTTATATATTTATAACACTTCTACATTCTCAGACCTTTAAGATAGTAAAATATGCTCCGTACAGCACAGCTTAAGATTTCTCGGGATTTAGAGGGAGGGGCTTGGGTAGAAAAAAGCCTCCCTACATGCCAAGCAAGTCCAAAGCAACATAGCTATTCCACAGTGAAGGCTCTTAAAAATGTAGTGCTGTCATTTGATATAGGAAAGTTCAGAGAGACAGCAACAGACCAAAAATAACTTTAATGCAAGAGTCTCCAGCCACTGGCTTTTTGTGGAGCTTTAACAGCTGTGGGGCTACAGAGCAGTGCCTGGCAGAACCCCCAGCCTAGCACAAGTGGTGAGTCTATTGCAGATGTTTGCCAGTCCAAAGCTTGCCACAGATTTGGTCCCTGAGATTCATGCCAGTGGGACACAGAGATCTGCAAAAGACAAATCATATTATAAAATCCAAACAGTCAAGAGCCCTCCTGGAATTGCTTTTGGATGCCAAAATGCGATGTGCATTTATAGGGTTTTACCAGTTGAACACACAAGCAGAGCTTTTCAAACAGCTCTTCTCTCTCTGGTGCTGGTGGGATAGTGGAAGAGAATTTATGTTGAAACCAGGCAAAAAAATCTTTGCAAAATGTTAGGCAGCTAAGAAACCTGCTCAGCAGGATGCTAAAGCTGTAGCAGTCTGGTCTTTTAGATTGCCCTCCACACAATGGACTTGTATAGTTCAAGCTCTGGGAACAGAAAATATAAATAGGACCCAAGCTATGATTTCCAGGCACAGATCTTGCCAGAGCTTTCCAGGTTTACATGCGGTAGGGGCACATGCTGCAGGGAGGAATGCAGCAGGGAGCAGGAGGTAGCCTCAGGCCCCTGAACAAGCTCTCTGAATAGCAGGATGATAGAGGAAGATGCAGGTGGATCATAGAATCATAGAATCATAGAAAGGCCTGGGTTGAAAAGGACTATAATGACTCTAGTTTCAACCCCCCTGCTGTGTTCAGGGTCACCAACCACTAGACCAGGCTGCCCAGAGCCACATCCAGCCTGGCCTTGAATGCCTCCAGTATGCCTGCCTCTCTCTTGGCAGACTCGGAATTCATGCAGACAGGGTTGGGGGGATAGAGCTTGGCTCCCAGCCCCACAGATTCCAGCCCTTTACATCCTATCCCCAGGGAGGTGAAGGGGCATAGTTCTGAGTCCTCACACTGGCAACACAAATGCCACGAGAAGCAGTGCCGCGCATCCCCATTTGTCACTGGGGCCAGCATTAACTGAATGTTTAAAAGTCATGATGTCATCGCTATTAATCAGGGCCCTGCTGGGCCACGCTCCAGCGCTGCATATTAATCACAGCGGCCTCGGGACTCACTTATCTGGAGAGGCTAAGTTTAGATCCATAAAACATGATTTATTTTTAAAAGTAGCATTATTAAAGATGAGCTACAGCTTTGTTCGCGCTCCTGCTGGAGCCTCCTTTAGGAAAGGGTTGGTATTTTGCAGCTGGTATGAAAATTGTCATTATTTTCAGCCTGAGAAAGATGTTGGGTGTGACACCAGCCTTTGAAAGCTTTGGATATTGCCCCCACAAAACAGAGTCATCTCAATGTCCCAGCAGAGGCAGAGCTAGGAACAAAGTTCCCAGCTGAACTGGTTTCTAATGTAGACAGGACTGGGCTAACAGCTCAGCAGGGAGAGCAGGTGATGTTTGGAGGCTGGTGAAATACAGCCCATCTGCCACCACAATGGTAACTAATGGCACTGTCCCACTCCACGGGCCTGGCTATGGCCTTGACCATCAGGTGAGCCTGTTGAATTCTGGCCCGCAAATGACATCCAGTAAATTAACTTATTTCCTGTGCTCTGCAAAGTGCTTCTGTTGAATCGGCAGCACGATTGATCCGCACAAATGAATTTGTAAAAGCCTGTCTGCACTCAAATTTATACGAGTTTAACTACAGTCGCTTTAACAACCGCTTTAGCTCTGGTCCAATCTGCGCAGAGAAACTGTACCTGTTTTAATGAAATCATTTTCTAAGACAGTCTGCTAAATTTGATTTGTCTCTGCGCACATCTGCTCTTGCTTTGGATTAAAAAGGTTCTGGTGTCAGTTTAGCACAACATCTAATTGGAGCCCCCCAGCCCAAAGTAAAAGGCTCCACCAACCCATTCCAGCAGTTCAATTAACCCTGTCCCTACGCCAACTTAGTTAGCAGCACTGCAAATCCCATGCATGGGGCCAGACCAAACATTTGGCAGATAGAGCAGGCTAGATGAAAGAAAGCCTTGCTGGCACACAACACTTGACATCCATCTCATCAGCGAGAGAAGACTGTTCATCAGTCATGACAGCGGCTGTGATCTCCTACCACAGGAACCTCTGGGTGATAGTGATGGAATCATGGGGTCTGCGTCATTGCCATGGCACAAGCTGTGAGGTAACAGTCCTTATGACTGGGCTGTTCCTTCAGCCCACTCCTCTCCCTTCACATCATGCTTTTGACCTAGCTGCCATTTTCTGCAGAATCTTTGCAAGGTTCAAATTCGGAAATTGGAGCGTTACATTTAAATGGGCATGGTGGGCTTCTTCACCTTTTTTAACCTTTTTGGTTTACAGTCTTTTGCTCTCCGAGGCAAGGGATGGGGAATATGGGAAAAAGGTTGCAAGGAGACAGAGTCCAGTTTCTAAAACTCTGCTTTTCCTTCTAGTGGGGGTATGCTTGAATATCTACCCCACACCTGCAGACCCAAGCAGGAAGCAATGCCAGTTCCACAGCAGTTGCTCAGACAAAAGAACCAGCACCTTCCCCATCCAGTTAGACTAGTCAACTCCCAAAAAGCACAAGTATGGGGTTTTGGATCAGCTTTCCCTACAGAAACCTCCAAGTGACCATCACTGCTTACCCCACTTCCACATGTTCGTGGCCCCCTAAGGAGAAAGCTGTACAGGTTTCTTATCTCAAAAGAAGGCACTCATTCTGCAACCTACTCCTGCACATCTCCTCTTTCCCATTCAAATCCTCTGTGATCCATGCTATTTAAATCCCTATTTTGCTGTAGTTGGCTCGTCATGTTCCTCTGCTCATTAGGCTGGCAGCACAAGCTCAGCAGCATTTGCACTTCAGCATCAGAATTTCTGCTGTGAAGTACGACTGTCATCCACTTGCCTGGACACGATGTTCCTAAAAATAGCCTCATCCATGTTGTCTCTCTCTAACAAAACCAGCAGTCTCTCTTCCTGAACCTTGATCACCAAACTCCCATCTCAGATCTTCACAAGCGCTCCCTCCATCTCCTTCTCACTGTATAAAATATTACTGGTGACACTCTTCCCTGCCAAGGCACCAACCCAAATCAAACTTTCCACTGAACTCCTCCTTCCTCAGGTGCCTGATGGGCAGTGGATGGGCACTCATCTCTCATGTACTTTGCTTCCTGTGATTAACAGCTTAGGCACAGCCTGCCACTGACAGTGGATGGTCACAGCTGTCTGGGGAAGAAGACAAGGACATGTAAACAGTGAGTAATGAAATGACAGCACTATTCCTTACTTATGACAAGTGTATGCCTGCAAGGGAAAGCATCCCACTATGGACAGAGGCAAATACCTTATCCTGTCTGGAGCAGGGTCACCCCACAGCTTGGAGGGACAGGAAACAATTTACACCTCCTCATATTCAGGGATCTTAGAATAAAACATGCAACTCCTCAGGCTTTTTTTTTTCTTTCTTTTTTTTTTTTTTTTTTTGCTACAGCACAGAGAAACCACATCAAGAAAAGCAGAACTGCAGTAGTGTGGATATGACCTTCCTGCCTCCCCCAACTCATCCTTCTTCTTGACCTCATCCCATCCAACACCCACAGGGCCTCACACACCTCGGCAACACAGAAAAAGGCAGAGGAAGATGAGTGGTAGTCCTTCCTTCATCACGAGGGAGAGGCTTTTGAGGCTCAGGATTGTCCTGCTGGTTGTTTCCTAGCTCTGGTACCTTCCATTCCTTGGCCTCTCCAAGCAATCTGAAAAGATTGCATGTCCTCAGACTGCTGTAAGGGAGAACTAAGACTTCATTATCTTGTGGAACTGGTAATGAAAAGCAGTGTCTCTGCATATCCCAGGGCTCCAGAGCACAGTACATACCAAAGCCTTGCTAACTGTTTATTATGAAGATCTAAAAATCAGTTGTGTGTCTGCCTAAATCCTGTTCTCGATTGATGAGAAGAGAGCCCTGAGGGAAGGGAAAACATTTTCTAGGGAAGAAGCTTTTAACATCAGAAGGGAGGAAACCAAACAGCACTCCTCATGCCTCTGCTTCACATGCTTAGTGCACAACTGGCCCTGTGGGAGGGTAGGGAAAGGATCAAGCCATCAAGTGAGCCTCAGGACGTGGGGAGCACTGGGCAGCTACTCGCCCACCGCAAGCACTCAGCAGTGCTATGACTGGAGACAAGGAGTTCTTGCAGCCATTCTTACCCACTGCACAAGACCCACATTTCTCCCAGTTCAAACTGCAAAGGAAAGAATCGTGGCAATGAGCTCCACATCAATTTGAGCCACCCAGTTATAGTACAGTCTCCCTTGGGAAAGGGGTGAGGTCTGTCACAGATCTCATCAGTGCCTGGTTGCAGTGTGGGCTGGGAGGTGAGAACATCCAGCTTCTGAGCTTTGGCTTTTTCATGGGCTGTGCCCTGCCAGGGGAAAGGATGCTCCTATCCCTCCAGCTCATAACCATCAGCAGATAGCCTCTTATCTGAATATTTTGAGCACTGCTTTTTTTTTAAATCACCTGGCATTCTGAGCTATCATTTCTAGATGAGGGCAAAGTAGCTACAGATCTCCTTCTGATTTGGTAATGACTTCAGTGCTTAACAGAGCTAGCATACGTGAACTGATAATCTTGCCTGTGTGTAATCATGAAAAATCTACCATTTCCTGTGGCTGGCAAACCACCTTCTGTTGTACACATACTGCTCTTCTCTTTTCTCTAACAACACATCTTTTCTCAAAATCACAAAGGGGATTTTGAATCACATTGGGAGTCTCTGTGCTGTACCCAGAAGGTACAGATATTTTTTTCAGATTGTATGGAAAGGCCAAGAGATGGAGGGCACAAGCATAGGGCCATCCCAAGCCCTGAAATCCTCTCCTTCCTTATGAAGGAAGGGCTGTCATTTGAATTCCTCTGCCTTTTGCTGTGTCATTGAGGTATGTGAGGCCCTGTGAGTAAATGCACGAGTTGCAATATCTAATGAGGAAACTAAGTCATCTCTGTTAATCAGTCTCCTGCTGGCATCCACTGCAGATCCAGCACTGTTTCAGCTCCACCATGACATGTCCACGCATCTTGCATAGTGGGCAAAGAGCAATGAAGAAGAAGCACAAGTATGGAGTTTTGGATCAGCTTTCCCTACAGAAACCTCCAAATGACCATCACTGCTTACCTCCAAGTAAGTGGAGCCAAGTGCTGTAACAGGTGAATGGATCTGAATGGGGTTTATGATACAATGCACTACATTTTGATAGATTGTCTTCCTCAAATGGATTAAAGTTTCTCTGAATCAGCTCCAGAACATCCATTCACAGACTCTAGCACAGTCTGTGCTTTCCAGCATTCCAGCACAGGGTGCCCTCAAGTTGCAATTAGGATTTATACACATAAGAAGCACGCTACCATGCTGCAGAGCCCTTCTAAGTGCAGAGTCCCTATCTGGATGAAAATATTCTTCAGTTCTATGACAGTATCAAACCAGGAGTTTTGCATCATGAGGCTGAATGATAGCAAAATGTATCGACGACTGCTTTCTTGCTGAGAGACAAACTAGGAAAACACGGCTGTGACAGATGCAGCAGAAGGACCAGGTCAGAGGGGACCATAAGAGCTAGAAGGATTGTTTCCCAATCCTCACCTCACAAGTGAAAGAAGTCGATTCCTTCTCTGCTTATTTTCCTTTGGTTCCCAGCTGCATCTCTTCAGTAGGCAGATCTAATGAAAACACAGGAGGGTCTGTTCTTTGTGACCACAAGGTTAATAAGAGTGGAACATAGGAGCAGCAGGAGCTGCAGGAAGAATAATTCCTTTTAAAGCTGGAGATAGGAAGCCTATAGGTGGTAAGTGTGACATTTCAACACGGAGGAGTCCAGCTTAATTACCTGCAATTCAAAGGTAGGAACTTCTACATTAAGGCAGGCAAAAAGAAAGTAGGGGGAGAGGTCCGGCTTCAGCCGCTCATGAAGATTTAACATCATTAACTCTCTGGCTTCCAAGCATGTTACTGTATTTTTAGTGGCCAAATACCAACACAGATAATTGCATTTGTGTTACCTGCAGTTCAGTGAGAAATAGTCTCTTTGTCATTGCCTGCACAGTACAAACACACACAGCAACACCAAGCAGAGTGGCTCTGCTTCATTTGCAGGTAAAACAATTCCTGTGTGCATTAAGCTTGGCTCAGCAAGACAAGCAGACAACATCAAGGGGCCAGAGCTGCTGTTATTCAGATGGCATTCGGTTCTGGCACACTGACAGGGACAGCATCCACAGGTGTTAAGTGCCTGAAAGTTATTTGGCAGAGCCTGCATGACTGAGTACTGCTGGTAATCATAAAATATGGCCAACCGAACATCTGAGTCACCTATTCACCTACTCAGTATTTGTGTATGCTACAGGCAGGCATATGGTTTACAGCAAACTGGGGAACAGGCTCTGCCACACACTCATTCCTTCATCTTTTCTGGGATTTGTTGAAGCATTCGCAGCTGAGACAGACGCAGGCCAAACTTCCATTCCAATATACCACTCAAAAGGCTATATTCTGACAGCTGTTGTTATTGCCTTAATCTCCTCTCTGTTGCTTATGCCTGATTAAATGAGGAGCCAGTGGCTGAGTTACCAGGCTCCCAAAGTCAGAAATACCAAGAGGACTAAGACCTTGGTTCCCAGGTCTGGTGCTGTGAAATCAATGTAAGACTCTCCCATTATCCCTGTCCTCGTGCTTGAACACTATTTGCATCTTTTCGCTTGCAAAAATACAAGAGACTACAGGGCCACAGAAAATAAAAGCAATTAGTTAAAACAACACAAAACAAACCAAAACAACACTAAAATAGCAACAAAACAGCATTATTTCCCTAAGCAGACTGATGGCAGTCCCCCCCAGCACTGAAGCTCACCCAGCTGAAAGTAGAGTGCCGTGAGAGTTCCCCTGGGTTTGCTCAAATCTCTGTCCTGCAATCATAAAAGTGTTTCTGTTTGCAGCTTCTCCCAGCACCTCCCTCCATCACCACCTCCTAGAACAAGCTGGGGGATCACTCTGGCATCCCACTTCCATGTTATTGCATTTCCCAGCTGATAAAAATGCCTGTGATTTCCATGACTGAGTGATCTCATGGACTTAGTGGCATCAGAACTGAAACACCAGATGTTAGGACAAGGGTCCTAGTATAGAAATGACTCGTATACATGTTTGGAAGAGCTCAGGAGAGACCTTTTCCTGTAGAGCTGAAATAGGATGCCACATCCAGATCATTAATAGGGACTAGGTCCAAAAGAACTCCATCTTTTCTGTGTCTAAAGACTCCCTGCTGACCTCTGGCAAGAAAGCTTTTCACCCTCTTTCTCTTTGTTCCCATGAAAAAAGATTTCAGGAATATCAAAGGCAGGTTTTTAGGAAGTTTACATCTCCAAAGCAACAGAGGATGAGGACCTTCTATTTCTGACACCCTTCCTGTACCTAATTCTCTATGTATTGGTCACAGGTGACTAAAGGACCAGATGACAGGTCTGGAAGGACAAAAATCTTCCAGAGGGTTTCCACTATGGTTTCGTTTTGGAGAAGTTATGGGTCCCTTCCAACTCAGGATATTCTACGATTCTAAGTTGGAGCCTCTCCATAGCTGAAGTTGTTATCATTTTCCACTCCAAGCTCTGACTGAAATAACTCTTCATACACATTTCTCAAACTTCAGCTCATAATTGCAGGGTTTGGTACTGAAGCTAAAAAGATTGTTTTTCCCCCTTCCCTCCTCCTCATTGCAATTTGAACAATTTGGACCCATAATTCAAAGAGTTAGGCAATACCAGACTGAACCTTTGCCAGGCTTCTCACTTCAGAAGATAAAAACAAAGCAGCTCCCCCCTAAAAAAGACCAAGAGGATTTTTCTTCTCTGCAAAGGACTCAAAATTCAAATCTCTTAGAAAACATATGCATAGGCAGCAGTTGCAGAAAACAAGGTGCAAGTCATAAAGTCATAAACCACCAACGCATTTATAATTGTAATAAAGCAAACATACGCGCAGTTGATACTCTGGTAGCTAATGCTAACTGGAAAACCTCCCATAAGCTGAAATCACACAATTGGGGAACTTTTCTGGTTTTGGAAAAAGACAAAATAACCTACAACCAGACTCTCTTCCACTTAAAACATGGAAAATTATCAAAACATTTTCCATTTGCTCTAGAAGTAGCAAATTGCTGCATACAGAAAACATGAGATTCATCCTATGCTGCGCTAAAGGAGATTACTCTTTCCATTACTTGGGCTGTTTTTACTTCTAGAGGTTAAACTTTTGGCCCCAATTACATGTGGGACTCAGCATTTTTGTAATTTGCATAAACCCCATGTTTGCACTGGATTCAATATAAAATATAACCCAGCCAATTATTTTTTTTCCTGCAATTCTACCCCCTCTCCTCCCAAAGAAAAAAGAACCCCTCTCTGAACATTGTTAATCTTCCAGTTTTTCATATTAATAGCTGTTTTCAAATTACTTCTTATGGCCAACTAAGAAGTCTTTAAAGTCATTACAAAGAACCCAACTGCATTTGCTGTAGCAGAGAACATCATGCAGCAGAGCTGTGCATCTCTTGTCTGTCCCTGACAGGAGCCTTGGGAAACCTTGCAGACATTTGGTTTTTCGGCCTGAACGTCATTTTATTCCCATACCCAGGGAAGATTCCTGTGAGAAATGGGGAACTATTCAGGCTGCAAGCTTGCAGGCAAGGAAACATTGAATAAATGGGCAGAAATCCAAATGTACCCAGAGCAGAAAGATGAAGGTGGCAAACAGGGTCCTTAAGCTGCTCGTGAATTAGCCTGCGCAGAGTAACAGCAGAAATATGGGCCCCACATAAAGAAATTAAAACCTGTACAAGCCTCATTAACTTGAATTTAATGATTACTGTGACTTAGATCTGTAAATACTTATGCACATGTGTAGCTGGAGTCACAGGCAGTCCTTCTGATGCCAGTAAGAATTCAAGAACTTGATACAACTCATGTACCTACATGGGTACAGCAACCAGCGGTTGTGCTGCGCACAAACCTCCCTTCCAGGCATCTAATAGGAAATAAAAAATAAGGTAAAAAGAAAGGCAAATATATTATTGAATGACGTCTGGCAAAGTAAGAGCTGACTTACTCAACACCCCGCTGCATGTTCCAAAATACCCTTAATTTGGCTTCCCTGGTGGGCAATGACTACCCGTTTCAGAGCAACGCACTTACAGCCACCGCAGCCAGACATTTAAAAAATCATTGTCTACAAGAAAACAAATCTGAGGCAGGCATGACGTTTTGACATCCTTCCCTCCCGCAGACAATTTAAGCTGGCATATAAGTAATGTACCGGTCTGGTTTGATGAAATGGACACTGTGACCCTTTCTTTACACTTGAAGATTGATTGATTGTTTGTACCTGAACAATTATGCCCTAGCAAACAGTCTAAGAGAGAAACAAACCTTTGGCCACAACATCCAATTTCTGCTAGCAGCATTTCACAGCTGTTCCTTCCCTGTTTACTCAAAGGAGCTCACATCTTGCTTTGTAAAACGCTTTATGTTCCCACCCTCATTTCCATACTCTGCTGTAGGTAAAAAACTATTTCCTTTGAGTTCTTTAATTGAAATACATCTGATTCCACAGGCGCTTTCCAAGATTTGTTTACAGCAAAACTAGCCACTTAAAAAGCAACAACGTTTTTTAAAGGAACACATCCCTCAGTCGCGTGGCAAGCAGCTCCTCATATGACTTTCAGGAAGAGTATTCCCAAATTCATTCTGTCTTTTACCCTCTCCCTGTTAGTTTTGTTGCTCTCTCTCAGCTCGGACAATGAAAATCAATGCAGCTTGTTT